GGCGGCTGAGCCCCCGCCATGGGGCTGCGGCTGCTCGTCTGGCTGCTCTGGGCCCTGGGCGGCAGCGGCTCGGGGCTCCCCGGGCCCCGCCACGAGTCCGGGCCCCACGGAGCCGGCTGGGGCGCCCGGCGCGCAGGTGAGGTGCGGCGGGGGAGACCCCGGGCTGCCCTGGGTGCGGGGGGCGCGTGGGGCCGGGAGAGCGGGGGGGGGCACGGAGACCGCGTGAGTCACTGGGGTCGGGGGGGCTAGAGCGGGGGGGGGGCGCTGGGAGCCAGGACTCCTGGGTCCTCTCGGCGGCGGGGAGCGGGCACCTGTCTGCGGCTGGGACGAGCACCGCGCTGCCTTTCCCAGCACCTGGCGACCCTGTAGGGAGAGGCCGCGACAGGTGCGAACCGGTGCTCATGTGACTCCTGGAGACTTTGGGCCCAGGCCCCCCCCTCCCCCCGGCTGCGCAGGTGCCCGTCGGGGCTAGCTGAGCTGTGGGGCCAGGTGCCATGAGGATGCCGTGGGAGGCCGGAGGTTCCTGTCTGACACGGGTGGGGGACCTGGGCCCACTGTGCTTTTCCTTGCCTGCCGTGCCCAGAGCACCCCTCTAGGTGAGGGTGGTGGGGGCCCCAGAGCAGTGGGGCTTGGAGCTAATGCCCCAGTGAGAGGCAGAGAGCAGCTTCCGTCTTGGGGCAATTGGCTCAGGCTCTCTGCAGACTCAGGCAGGTTTCGCTGCGTCAGTTGTACTCAAGGCAGCTCCCCCCCATCACGCAACTGACTCTGCCTGTGTTTGCAGAGAGCCTGAGACAATCGGTTGGGGGGCAGGCATTGGCACAGGGCCTGGCATCGCTGGGGTGGGGGTGGGCTGCATCTACGAGCCATAGGGAGAGCCGTATGGAGCCAGGGGGCTGCAGGTCATGGAGTCTGCCATGGGGCTGGGAAGGCAGGGCCCTGGTGTCCCTGCACCAGTGGGGGTGGAGGAGGTGGTCAGGGGATACGGGGGGGTGGGCTGAGCCCCCTGTGACGAACTGGGCCTGTTCTCACTGTGGTCTGTGAATG